GGCATGCGGCCGCCCAGGCGTATGTACTGCTCTCCGTAGTAGGGGTGGTCGCAGAGGTCCTTCCATTTGGACGTGCCAGACTCAGAAATCGTGTTGCCGTCGTCGTCCTGACCGTGAATGGCCCAAGGGATGTCAGTGTCGGGGTCGATTTCTTTGACGGCGTCAATGCTCTTGCTCCAACAGTAGCTTAAAGCCTCATAGGGCGCGTCTGGTGAGTCGAGGTTCAGATGTGAAATGCTACATATAATTTCGTCATCGAAGTTGCCGGGTTGGACGGTGAGGATGCGGGTTTCATTGGGGAGATCTAGGGGGCGGTAGGGATAGGTTGCCATCTTGCAGTGCAGTAGTGTTATCAAAGACAGACAGTGACCGAGATGAATGAACCTGCACGTGCGGAGTCACTCGTGGGAAGAATAGAAATTATCTACAAGCTTTAGGTTTCAAGTAATCCAGATTGAGGCGAGCTATGTCGCTTATCACAAATAGTCAATCATTCAGTTCTGGTAGGGCTGTGCTAGGCACCAGCTTAGTAGCAACACCTCTAAGCGTCATCTTGCAGGTTCAGGATTGGCTAAGATGATGAACCCTGGCTCACATTCGCTGGTTAGATACTGTTTCCACTTGCACCCTAGATTTACGGAAGTCCCAATGAATTTGAAGGTGTCTTCAGCCTGCACTAGTGGGAGGATCTTTGAGCGAATCCTCCCACACTTATTCGTAGTCATCGACACCAAGAGACTTGACGCCCTTCAACACATCAGCATTTTGACGCATAGCTGCTTTGCAGTCACCAGTCAATCACTCTATATCCAGCACCTTTCAAGGCAAACGTGGTCTCGAGAAAATACAAATATCGCTGGTCGTCTATATCTCGCCCTTCGACGCACCGAACTCAACATGCCACCGTTATACACAAGGCAAGCACAATTTAGACACAAGAATTGGCTGCGCTGTTGTAAACCTATGTCCAGGAAAAGCCATACGTGGTGTTTCACAGACCTAAAAGTGAAGAGATCTTTTTCCATCGCAGCATACTTGTCTACTAATCTTCAGTAAAATAGTGCAGGCAAAGGCCATTGGAAAATCATGTAGCGACGAGTGTTTTTGTGAGGTAGCGATGAATTAGTAACTGAATGTCAATAGTTGCATCCTGAACCAATGTTTATAGGTGCTCAAAATAGTAAGGTCAATAGGACAAGCAGTCTCCAAGGTCAATCATAGCCATAACATAACGAGATTCGGCCAAAATTGCGCCGCAGAAACGTGCTTAGAAAAACGTAACTCGGGCTGTGAGTCATTTAATTCAAGAACCAATTGTGGCAGCGAGATTTGACCTCCGTACCCGAACTGTGTGGCATGTCCCTCATCGCTTGATCATTTAAGCGCGGCCCGAATCTGACCTCATAAGCTTATTTAAACCTCAGCGACAACCGAGAAAACCGGACATGAGTATGTCCGCAACTTAACATCACCCCTTCATACCTTTCGGCCACGGACTTTGCAGAACGTTTTGTATTTCAGATGGCTATTCCGCAGCGGATCGCGCCCTCTGTCGAGACTCTAAGGGAGTTCTACGTCGGCAAGGATGTGAGAGACGTTCCGAAGCCGGCAGTAGTATTGGATGCGGCCAAGGTCAGGACGCACTGCCGGTCCATGTTGGAAGCCGTCGATGATCTGGGAGTCGGATTTCGATTCCATGTCAAGACTCACAAGGTGAGTGGTCCAACCCTGAAGTAGTCATATCAAATCTTTGAATGGCTCAATGGGGACAAGATATTGACCATCGCTGCAGACCAGAGAAGTCACAAAGCTCCAGGCAGGCGAGAAGGCAACAAAGATTAACTGCATCGTATCAACCGTAGCAGAGATTGAGTATCTCCTCCCAACCTTCAAAGAGTACAAAGACTCCAGTCGCCACGTCAATGTCCTCTACGGCGTTCCCCTTCTCGGTTCCCAGATTGAGCGCCTCGCCACATTAAGCCAAGAACTCGGCAAGGACGGACTCACGGTTCTTGTCGACCACCCTTCCCAGCTAGACTCAATTAGTCGGCTCCATGATCTAAGCGGTCTCCCAGTGGGCGTCTATCTCAAAGTAGACACGGGATATCACAGGGCAGGGCTTCCCGCCACGGCGCTCAACAAGGGCGGCCTGCTAGAGCAGCTTATGCAACTGGACGCGCAAGGCAAAGCGACCTTGGTGGGGCTGTACTCACACAGCAGTCTCAGTTATAAGGATGACACCGCTGACCAAGCGATGCACAATCTCGCTGGGGAGATCGAGGGCTGTCTGGAAGCCCTCCACGCCAACGAAAGTCTCCTCGCGGCCAACGCCTCGAGAGAAATCACTATTAGCGTTGGCGCGTCTCCTCAGGTCACGGCCATCGAGAACCTCACGGGCGCCACGGCGGTCAGCGGGTCCGGCGAAGCGCGTCTTCGGGCGGCTATCGGCAAAGTCCAAGCTGGGTCGCCGACGGTGAAGTCGACGCTCGAACTCCACGCCGGGGTATATGCTTTCCTCGATATGCAGCAAATTTCTACCCATTCGCGGACTGCACTAGGGAGCTATGAAGACGAGGTTGCCATCTCCGTTGTAGCCGAAGTTTGCAGCGTCTACAATGATGGCGAGCGGGAGAGGCCAGAGGCTCTCGTCGCTGTTGGTGTGCTGGGTCTCGGGAGGGAGCCCTGCCCTTCTTATCCGGGCTGGGGCGTCGTCGGGCGGCAGCCCGAGTTTGAAGCTGCGGGAGAACGGAGGCTTATCGTGGATAGGATCAGTCAGGAGCACGCTATTCTCTCGTGGGAGGCTGACGCTGGAGCGAACTCTGATCTACCGCAGATCCCGCTCGAGGTTGGTCAGTCTGTCAGTATCTACCCAAACCATGCATGTGTTACCGGTGCTCTGTATGGTTGGTACCTTGTAGTCGACTCGAGCAAGTCTAGCAAGACCGAGATCGTGGATGTTTGGGTTCGGGGATCGGGGTGGTGAATGAAATCATACGGAGCTGTACAAGGGAGACAGACCAAATGTCTTGTGGGCGAAATCAAAAACAGAATCATATTTCGAAACTCTCTACCAACTCCTTCAGAGCTTTCAAGTTGCCCTTGTCCCATGCCGTGACCTTTCCCTGCCACTTCTCCCCACCACCGCCGCCCTTCACCCCCGTCACAACGTCCTTGATCTTTGGAACGAGCGCCTCGACAGCAGCCTTCTCACCGAGAACAGAAATTTGTCCGCTGTTCCCGTCATCGCCAGTAGCCAAAACAACAACTCCACCACAAGCCATCACAGCGTCCTTGACGTTGACGGTAACCCACTTCACAAAGTCCGCGTTGCCATCCGCGCGATGAACCCACACACTCTTCGTGGATTGCAACTTGATCTTTGCAGCATCTGCCTCAAACTCGGCAATGTCCGCGAGAAGCTTCTTTTCCCTCTTCTTGAGATCCGCCGCGGAGCTCTGCACGGTCTTCACGGTCTGAACTATCTCTTCGGACGTGTTTTTGCACGACAGCAGCTTTGAGAGAGAGCTCATTGCACCGAGGGAGGCTGTCGCCAGGTTGATGGCTCGATCGCCGACGGAAAAGTAGAGGCGGTAGTTCTTCCCGTGGACTGGTTCGCCGTGATGAACGAGGATGAGTGAGATGTGGGATGTTTGGGAGAGGTGAGTGCCACAGCATCTGCAGCTTGTGTCAGCATCAACACGCTACCAAGAACGATTTAGCATGGTGTGTGAGGGTTGCATACGTATTGCGATCGATGTCGCCGATCCGGATCACACGAACGACTCCTTTACTCTGATCATAGTCCTCGGGCATCTTATGGACCTTGGCATCCTCCGGGGTTTCGACTGTAATTGGGAAGCTGGCGCGGATGATTTCGTTACACCTCGCCTGAATGGCTTGTAGTTCCGCGTCTAAAGGTTTCCGCGGAATATCGACGTAGTTCATCGCCCCAGTCTTTCCCATGCCCCAGCCGAGAGTGTTGAGGTTGTCATGGGTATTCATGACGGCGGATAAGAGATGTTGGCCCGTATGCTGCTGCATGTGGTCCCATCGGCGCTGGAAATCGACTTCTTGTCGTACCTTCTCACCGGGATCGAGGGGTTTGGGAGAGTGATAGACGCATCGTAGCCCAACGCGTTCGACAAATTGAATCGGGATGGCGGAAGCATCCGTGCTTGAGAGGGGAGTGATTGATCCGTGATCAGACGGTTGTCCGCCGCCTGGGGAGCGCAGTTGAGTAAGTCTAAAGTGCTAATATATTCATTGAAGTCGTGCGGTACCTTCGGGAAAGAGGACGGAGTCGGCGAATTCGATCAACCACACCTCATCGGTGCTGTTGTTGGAGACTGGTCCCGCAGATTTGTTCCTGCTGGTCTTCTTTGTTGGTGGGGGTGGGGGCCTCTTTTCACATGAGATGACTTCTGCCTCTAGAGTGCGAAGATATGAGTTCTGTTGACAAGCTAATGCCCCGACTACTTGGGCCCGAGTTGATTCTGTGACTGCCATTTTTGAATGAGTCTTGCAATGTTTGGATAAGAATTGGCTCAATTGAAACGTAACTTCATGCTGAGTAGTGAGTGAGTCAATTGAGATAGTGGCCAACATCATCGATGAGATGAGGTAAGCAGATAAGAAAGGTGGAGACGGATGGCGGCAGTCGGGCTTGTTGAGCGCCGAGTGGAAAATTCACTCACGTGATTCTCATCCCGCAAATTCGTTTTGGTCAGGCTGTCAACGACAGAGGGAACATCATTCCATTCCGGCAAGGATGCGAGTCAGGTTGTCTGGAACTGTGAAGACAAGTGGCGTTGATCACCACTGGGACTCGCCCCATACTTGCCTGCGATGACCCAACGCTTCGGTGGCGTTCTTCGTGGTTGTGCATCCGGCATTGTCACGATATTCTCACGGTGAAGCGCTGACTGAGTTTGGGTCAAACGTCCATATTCAACATATTATATTCATTAGATGTTGCGATAACTAATAACAATGCCTACTTCTCATCGCGCGGCGTTGGAAGCACACGTCCACGGCTTGGTGCCCTTCTCATTAGCAATCGACTCGATAGACGCCCACAGACCAAGCACGCAGATGAGGAATCCCGTGAGGAACAGGATAACATTGGCCACGAACTTGCACGTCTGCTTTCCGTCCTTGAACCAGTTGCCGTAGTGCATCCACAGCCAGAAAATACCGGGAAGACCGTATGAGAACCACGAGGCGAACAGTGCGCAAATGAGGCCGAGCAGCGAGTTGAACACAGGGATGGACTCGGCAATGACCATGGACAGTGCCCAGATGCCGACGACGATGCCGATCCACGCGATGCCGGAGAGCTTGGTGCGGCGAATCATGTGCTTCGTGTTGCGGAACAGGCGCGAGAAGATATACTTTGCGGCAACGTGGCCGTAGATGACACCAGCGATGACAATGGTCGGGATGGCGATGCCCCAGATGGCCTTGCGCATCGTCTTGGAGCCGGCGGCGGAGAGGGCGGGGGAGGGGACGTCCGGTCCGACGAAGACGTAGATGACAATGGCGGCGAGCAGGTAGAGCGTCGTGTCGGCGATCTGGAGAAGGGCCAGGGCCTTGGGCCAGTCCTCGGGCTTCTTGAACTCGCCGATGACGCTGAAGAAGCAGGAGTGACTCGAGAAGGCGATAGCGATGTTGGTCACGGCGAGGAAGGCGCCGGTGAAGCCGAGCTGGCGGGCGACTTCGATGCTGCCGGAGCCGATGGGGCGGGAAACGGCGACGTCACCGAGGGTCATGAGGACGGCCAGGGTGATGGACAAGCATGCTATGTTTCTTGGTAAGTCAAAGTTCATGAAAGCAAATTCTCGAAAGAAGGGCGGTTGAACTCACAAGCCATGGACATGTAACTCGTGTACTTGAGCGTTCTCGGGAAGTTGAGCACGGCGAAAACAGCCAAACCGACGACGGCCCACACAATGGTGCAGGTAGACGAGTTGGTCAGGGTGTTGAGGCAGATGGTCCAGGTCAACAAGTGGCTGCCCATGACAAAGACCTGGAAGATAACCTGCGCCCAGCCAAAGACCTCCTGGAAGACGGCGCCCATACCAATGGACTTGCCGATGACCTCGACGGCGTCGCCAAAGTTTTGCACAAAGGGGTACTCGTTGCGGAACTCAGCCAGGACGAGGCCTGAGTACGTCGACAGGAAGCTCATGACGAGGATGAGGACAATGCCCGGGACGAGACCGACAGTCGCCAGAACGGAGGGCAGCGAGAGGATGCCCAGGGACACGGTCTCGGCGATGAGGACGATGCCACCTTGCCTGAGAGTATATGGGTTAGCAAACGAACAGCCGTGGCGTCGTTGAAGCATAGCCTAGACGTACCACCAGGTGAGAGTCTTGTAGTCGATCAGTTCACCATCCTCTCCCGTCAGGACGCTGTTGTGCTCCTCCGCCGTCGCGGGCACGTAGGCCGGCGCGGCCTCCTCACGATCGCCGACATCCTTCTTAGCCTGGTTCTGAGCCTCCGTCATCTCGGGGCTGTTGGTAACTTCTGTGGCGGTACCCATTTTGCCTATAGTATACACACAGATGTGTGATATCGGTCACTGTTTGCTGTACCTGACGCGTTGAAGCTGTCAGTAAGTCCGTCCGTCGCCCTGCGTGATGAAGAAGAAGCAGGATGAAGTTGAGAGGTGGTTCAGAAATGGAGAGAACCACGACGGACGTTCAGGTGAGGGACGAAGAGAGGGAAACGGTAGAAAATCTCTCGCATTCAAGACCCAGAGTCCTTCTATCCTTGGGGGGACCAGATTTCTTGATATAATCCACCCAGGCCACGCCGCGATCGGCCTCGTCAACCTCACTGGAACCCGCGCAGGGCGAATTGGTCATACGAGACATCTGCCGAGGCGATCTCGGCGCGTCCGCAATGGCGAACCGCGCAGGGCCAGAGGGCCGTCAGACGGCCCACGGGGGTGTGAGAAGTTGTGAACTCTTGCAGCGGCACCTTTCCCAGCAGAATGACTCGGGGCCCGCACCTCCGGCCCACTCGGGATTGTGGCAACTTGGGGGACTTTGTGCCTGGACGTTGAAAGTTTGGAACACCGCACCCCTGCCCGGCTCTGGAGCCTCATCCACCACAACCACCACCATCTACGGAAACCCTTCCGCCGTTGATTCGTTGCCGGTGATGCCCGTCTTTTCAGTGTGTTCAAACTGACGTCTCATCCACATACTGGGTGTTCGCATCTCACTTTAGCCTCAAAGTCATGAGGGGAACTTGAGTCCCGCTCCGGCAGCTAAGAAAATCCATCATTCGATCCCAAGCTTTCTCCCACCCCCAACTCCCTAAGCTCAAGAAGAAGAAAAAAGTCAATGGGCTGATCGGCCACCACCAAAAACCCAAAAGACGCAGAGTCACCGTACCAAAAAAAGACTACAAAGAACAGGAAAATCTGCTCGGAACGCGCCTCGTACCAAAAAAATCTTCAAGCGCGCATTACCCATCCGTACCATCTCAACCCATCAAAAAAAGTCCCACACGTTGGCTAATATTTACGTGATTATATCCACTTGGCACGGGTTTTACTAATGTTGACGTCCCAGTTGGTTTGTGGAGTGGTCAATTCATGTTATTCCCAACTCCACGAGCGTAAGTCCCCCAATCTGCCCATTGCCCATCCTCTTTTGCAGGTCCCCTATCGAAACCCAAGAAAAGTCTGGAAAGATTTTCGGCCCTATTTCCCCGCGTGGTTCCTCACGATCCACGCAACGCAAGCCGATGCCGCAGCCCGCATGCCCGGGGCCGGCGCATGCAGTCAAATCTTTTACGCAAATTTGTTCGCCAACGGGGTTTCCTGGTGTCTTGCTTTTGACTCTTGCGCCCACGGGTATGAGTGCTTCCCCCTTTTGCTACTCCGCTCTGGTCTGCATGGTCTGCATGCTGCATAGAACGGCTCATTTCGCCGTAATCCGCTTCATTCTAGAAGCCCGCAACCGGTTGTCTCTATTCCTTGTGTCCTCTTCCTGTTACCGCGGACCATGGAGACGCGGCCACGATTGCCTATCCCGGATCCGTAGCCTCTCGAGTCTCAAGTAGGTTTACTGTTCATCGGGGTGAGCATTCGTACTTCGGTGCATAAATTGCATTAGATCAATAGAAACACGTGAATGGGACTTTTGAAGGCACCAGATTGTAGCTAGGCCATCGAGAGCCTGTAATGCTCTTACTTTCCTTCGTAGCCACATGATAAATAACATAAGATTCTTCGGAAACAAGGTACTCGGAGGGCAGCTAAACAGGACACAACGTTCCATTTCCCCGTACAACGCACATATAGTCATATACTAGTCCATACACGTGGATCTGGAGAACCGCGGGAGTCCGTCCCTCGTAGATCCCGTCTTGCCCGCCAGAGGTTCATGACGGCTCACGACGGCTCTCCCGAGTGGCCCCCTCCCTCTTCCTTCATCTCGTTCCCCTTTTTTTACCCTTCCAGGACGACGGGCTACTTCTCCACGGTCTCTATCTACTAATCGTTCTCTTACTCACCCGCGGGTAACCGAGATCTGAGATCTCCTACCCGTACGCCTGCTCCTTCTTTCCCCGGATCTTCTCACTTTCCCCTCCAAGCCATGTGCTAGATAGATCTTGTTTTTTCCCCTTCCCGTCCCCCGCAATCTGCAACGTTGATGAAGGGTTCGTGTCACTTTAAGAGGGGGCGGGGGGAGGGGGTTTCCCTATGATCGAGATGGCGTGCTTGTTGTTTGAGAGAAAAACTGGAGCCATCTTCTGGAGAGACAGCAAGTGTGAGTGAGTATATGTAGTGTGTGGCTGCCCAATGATGAGGTGCTTGTGTCAAACACTTCCAACATTGCCTATGAATGACGGCTTATTTCCTACAAGTATATCATGGATGCTAGTTTTATATCAAGTTTGGACTGTCCACTGGATCGTCGAAAGCCCAACTTGTCAATGATGCTCGTATCTGTCCTCTCGAGGGTCCTTCCTGGGAGTCTCGTACATCAAATCGAAATCAACAGGTTATTAGAGTCACTTCCCATGGCAGCTTCGCTTTCAGGGAAACACATCGGACGACAGATATTGATAAAAGTTGATGTCTCATTCAGTCGGGAATCATACATCCCAGGTATCTGTCTAGTCTCCTCTCCCCGATCCACCCAAACTCCCTTTTTACCCTTCTTCATCCCATACACATTATAATTACAGTGTTAAGTCATATGTAATAGGTAACGGGCCATCCCGTTAGGGAGCGTTGCGTTATTTCATCGGTGTAATGATAACAACTATCCACTCAACCTTTTCCTCCGCATTCTTCAATGGTGTCCATTGGCTGGTGAGCTTCTCCATCTTCCCTGCCTCGCTCACCAGGCTGGCAAAACCCGACCTGCTGACAGGTCGTCCATGTTTCTTCGTGCTGCCGTCTGATTCGTCTTTGGATGAACGCCCGCCGAGGCCAATGAGACTGCCCTTCCGTGCGAGGTAGTTACCGCCGAGCATGATATCTAGCGTGGCCGTCTTTCCGTTTTGAATCACCCGTTCGCGCACCGTGTTCTTGAAGCTCTTCGTAATCGATGGCGAGTCCGCGAGGTCGGAAAGGACGGTAAAGATGTCTCGGTGCGTAATGCTATCGGCGAAAAGGCCGAGGCCGAGCGCCTCCAGCGCGGCGGCTGAACAAAAGGCAACACTCAGCTGAGCGGCCTTTCTCTTGTTAGGGTCTGGAGGTAGAGACGATGACCTTGGTGGGAAGGCGGAAGGTCCGTCCGTGTTTTGCAAAACAATGAATCGGCTGTAGCCAGAGTAAACAGTGTCCAGCTGAGTGGGTGCCGAAAGGTGCTCTTCCGAGCTCGAAACCGTTAGCAACTGCTCCAAGCCGAGGCCAACGCCTTGCGACGGTGACGTATTTTCCTGATTGTTGCTGTTGTGCGTCGCATGCTTTCGGAATGGTTGGAAGAGGCTTTTCTTGGGCCCTTTGTTGTGTAGACTATCCCTATTGCGGAGACTGGTCCGCCGTTCCTGTTTTCTGTCTCGGCTGCTCGTACGGCTCATGCGGCGACTGACTCGGGACTCCCGACCCGAGGTCTCTTCCTTTACCTCATCTAGCGCCGGCCCAAAGTTGAGAATCCGGAGGAGGTCTTTGTAGCCACCAACGTTGTCCGACACGTTGATCTGCCCTCCGAGGTAGTATCGTAGCTTGCCGGAAGAGTCCGTGAGCGGACAGGTGAATAGAAGATTCCAGTACGGGGTGCCGTCTCTCCGGTAGTTGAGTACGAGCTCCAACGACTCCTCCTCCCGCGCGACAGTATCTCGGATGCGTTTGACGGTGTCCTGGTCCGTGAGTGACCCTTGTAAGATACGGCAGTTGCTTGAAAGAGCCTCGACTTTCGGATACCCAGTAACAGAAACGAAAGCATCTGATGCGGCGATGATGGGGTAGTCTGAGCTCAAGGCATCCGTCAAGCAGAATGACTCGGCAAGACCAGGGTATTTGAAGACGCGAGTGCCGGATAGAGCCGCCGAGGTAGAGATGGCAAGCTGATGCTTCACAAATTCTGGATAGATGGACCGGGCAACTCGCTGCTCGACGCATCGTGTAGATTCTGCAAACATAGATTCGAGACCTGGGAGAACAGAATTTGTCAACTGCTTCATATCGGCATTCAATGACTTGGAGACAGTTGAAGGTAGATTTGCTGGTGTCGGCATTGATGAGGCTTGTTTCCCAAACAGTGCTAATGATTTCGCGTATTCCTGGGTCCTCAGAAGAAATTCGATGTCCGAACCGCAGCCATGATTTTGGGCGAAATGGAAGAAACGTTGAGAGGCGGAAGCGTTGGCAAGAACCATCTGAAAGACCTCTCGGCCAAGGAAGTCCGGTATAGACAAAGTCTCTGGTTCGATCTCCATGACTGGTGGCCCGAAGCTTCGGCGCAGACTTGTTGAGACGCTGTCGAGACTGGGCCACATACCGGGCCCAAAAGTCGGGGATCTCGGGGACCCATCGGGATTGTAGTCGGTGTATCGACGGAAGGCGTCTTCGTTTGTGTGTAATGACAGGCCAGAATTGCTCCTCAGGCGCAAGGACATCTTATTCGGTCGTGAGCTTCGGGGCGTCGGGGGCGGAGAGAATCTCATGGTAGGAACGGGCAGGCAGGCCGACGATGGACTGCTTCTCAATCCTGGGCCCCGTAGACCCTTTGGGCTTTGGTTGTAGTCATCATCGTATGGCGGTGTCACGGGTGACCTTCGAGACATGGAAGAGGCCATGTTTGGAGTTCGGTTGGAAAAGGAAAAATGAGGGACGAAAAAGGAGCGTGATAAGTGACAGCCCTCTGGCAGGCTCGGCCGGACGTAGGAATATGACGGAAGGCGTCTATTACAAGGAACAAAGCAGCGGCTTTAGAAAAGGATACTCGTTAGCAACGACTACGGCCGCATGTTATGTGATGCAGAGAAACAAAGTGACTGACACCGATAACACATGCCACCATGAGTTGGAGGGGTTTCTCTGGAGATAGAAAAGACGGCCGACCTCCGGTGCTTATAGCAAACGCGCCAGTGGACGAACCCTGACTCGCACTGGGACAGTCTCTTTGGTGTTGTGCCAGGCTTGTCAAACGCCGTAGGCAATAAGATGTCTTAGCTCGACGCCACGAACTTGTGGGGGAAAGCCTGGCTTGCTAGAGCCTGGGTCTTCGGAGACAAACACACATAATGAGCTGCGTCTGCCGAGCGTTCTCCTTGGGTCATTGTCCCATGGCGCAGAGCAACGTTGAGGCCCGATATGCGACTTTGCTTGCGTCTGCAGGTGCGCATCGTCGATCACTACCATCAATGCCTGCCAGCTATTTCATGAATGAGCTGCCGATATTGGCCTTCCGACCTCGTTGACTAGGACTGGGCTAGCTGCTTGTCTGTTGTTCCAGGCTTGACCATCAGGGGTCACCCAGGAGCAAACTGCATGTGAGTGTAAAAAAAGCAACGAGACCGTGCGTCAAAGTCGGTTGGCGACTTGATTGTGGCGGCGTCGAGAAGCTCCTTAAGCTCCTTCACACGGCGATTCTACCTCGCCTAACAGCACTGTGCTGGAGCTAAGATGGACGGGCGTTGGGTGAGGATGCCACCATGCCATCCGAAGTCTGGCGTCGATGATGAGGAGGAGAGCGGCGAAGGCGTAAGGAACAACCAAAGATGCAAAGGTTGGCCAGGAAATGTTGGCTGAATCTTGGTCCACATGGTAGACGATCTCCCGCCATTGCGTGACGACGGAGTGGCACAGGCCTATTTTGGGTCCCTCCCAGGCCGCCGGCTGGGATGCCTGTCCTTGTCGGGGGTCCAAGAAGGGGCACGACGCCGTTGCGACGCTTTGGCCGGTGGCGGCGGTTGGATGTCGCATGCTGCTTTTGGCAGAGTAGCGTGAGGAGGTCCACGAAGGCAAGAAATGCTGTCATGCAGAAAACGGCGGTCAGCAAAAGGCGAGAGAGGAAGCAGGGTTGGCTCTGCAGTCGCTATTGGGGGTTTCGTTGACAGTGTCCATGTCCGTACGCCAACATGGGATTGAGGAAGCCGCGCAGGCGGGAGAAATAGAGGGACATCCGTATTTTCGTTTCAGTATAAATGAAGGTCTCGGATACCATCGACGTAAATGTCGCAGATCGAATGGAACATGTCGCTCTTTAGAGCCTGGTACTGGCTCGGTGGATGGACCGTCGTTGGTGTGCACCGCGGCATCTTCCTTGAACGGCAGACCAGCGGTATCCGTGATCTCGTCGCCACACCAGCGAATGCTTCTCGTGTTTACCGGTGTGGCCCGGTGACCATCGCAGCTAATAGCGCTGGCGGGGACCATGAAGAGGAGGGGCGGGAGAAGAACTGCGGGCAGTAAAAACCGACTGTGCGTCTAGCTCACGACTAGGTGTATCAGGTATCCGTCCTTGCGGGAGGCTCTAAATGGCCAATATCGAGCCGTTTTCAGGTGAAGAGCGACCGATGAGTTGATGAGTCGTCACAAACGACAGGCGTGGGAGGACGAAAGAGAAGCTGGAGAGACACAAAGAGGTCTATGCTTGGTCAGAGTTTGGCGGCATTCCATCGTCTAGTCCGGGCGCCAGGATGATCAGACGGTCCTTGCATGGCTAGGCGGGCTGCGAGAAGGCGGGAACGACTTCAGACGAAAGAGACTGTGGTCTGTGTGACCGAACTGGCTGATTGTGCTCCTCAGCTGCGACTCGTCGTGTGATGTGCGAGCTGGAAGTACTCGGTAGAGAGATGCAGAGAACTTTGAGAAGTGGGAGGAAAGCTGAGGTGGAGAGGTGGAAGGGACGTGATGCACAGTGCCCGGGCTGCTAGGTCGAGTACGTACCGTTGTTCCAAAGGGGAGTACGTACCGCCAACGCTCGTCGTTTGCGCCTCAGACATTCAGGTCATCAAGCCTCAATGGCCGCACCAAATTTCTCCCATCCGACGCTCTTCATCCACCAGCTGGCTTACTGCTCAGCCATCGAACGGTCAATCTCGAGGGCACTGGTGGTATCAGGACCTGTCATTACACGCCCGAGTTTCGTGCGGCAAGCTCATCTTCCTGCCATACCCCAGAGTTCAGTTGCCAAAAGGACGTGATCGATGAACAGCTCGCCGTCTACTGCCATCCATCCGCATGAGAGCCGTTGACACTGTGGGGAAACCACGCGGGAACCAGCGACATTCTGTGGGTAACAGCGTGGTGGCTGACACCCATATGAGAAAAGGAAGCATAATCGAGCCAGGCTCTCAGCCTCGACTTGTTAGCTCTCAGATTAGACGCTGCAGGAGTATAGGTCAATCAAGCCTATGAGTGATCCTACATAAACGGGAATTTGGAAAAAGTATTCAACGGGTAGTTCTGTCAATCCTCTCCTTTCCTTCCAATTTAGCATGCTTAGCCTTTTGAGAGTTGGATATTTCATATCACCATGACATATGCTAGATAATAAGTCTGCACGTGCAAATATTGCAGCTCTAGATTGAGCGAGCGAAGGTTGACCAAATTCCGGCAGTCCGCTTCAAGCCTTAGCCACGGGATCTCACAAGAACCCCAGATGTTGGCTAGATGCTCAGGCTTCCGGTCCGGTCAATCCCAATCAAACTAAGAAATGCACCAGCCAGTAACGACTATTCTAGCTAGCTTGAGGCTGCTGGAAGTGCTAAAATTACCTACATGACAATCGCCTGAGTGAAATGACGGCTAGGCCACGATGAGGATGAGGAATAGGCGAGATGCTACAGACGACTCAAAGGCCAGAGAGACACTTAGATGGTCCTGTTTCGCGAAGCGTTCCGGCGAAACTCAATGAACACAGCTTCAGCTGAATTTACCCGTCATAATAAAAGCTCGATTACAAGATGTGGTTCGTACCCTTAGCCTCACAAACAAGCTCCATGTGCGCAGGGGCCTTTTTATTTCTTTCTTCAGAGAAAAGCTTCGTCGCTTCACACAAGGCCCGACGACGACATTATCATAGGTCCAAAGTATAGTTTCACCTTGCATCTTATTCAAGAGTTCCCAAATTTCATCATGCCCTTCTGGTACCTGGTCCTTTCAAAGCAGACAGTCCAAGGAGTGGGACTCCGTTGGCAAGCGTGAGGTCATTCCAGAAGAAGTTTTGAGAGTCACACTTTGTACCTCTACAGGCAAAGCTCAAGTCAACTAGAGCAGACACGGGCTCCCAGAAAGTGGGTATCGGCTGAGAGGTTGAAATACTATTTGCCCTGGCCCACAGAGGCTGTCACGGAATCGCACTTGATGCTCGTTGAGCATGGCCTCTATTCAAAGTATTGTTTTTGATAACTGGCGACGTGTGGATTCCGGTCTCGGAAGTTTTAGATGAAAGGCAGCACTATTGAGGTTCAGATTCCGTAGCCGGAGCAGACAATACCCATCGCTGGTTAGGAAAAAGGTGCACGGCGAGAGGGTTCCAAATTCGTGATCTCATTGTCATCGCGGATTATATAAGCAACATGCATGACTAAGGAAGGTCGCCCGATGGCCCAGCGGCGGCCGCTATAGAGACTTCCCTACGGGCGCTAAATCGCTAAAACGGACTTCAACGGCGCTGGAGGCAACAGCATTGGCCAGGCGGCAACGGACCCGCCTTGCAGAGCTTGCGACACGCTGTGACACCTCATTGTCAACATCGGCCGAGATTTGACGTTACACCTACAACTACAGCCGCAACTCAATCATCATCATCACCTGCTCTTCTCCCTCCAAACCCCAGAGAAGGCGAAGATTACCTATCGTACATGCGTACGATACAACTACACTCGCTACGATGCCTCTCAACCATCGGCTTGGACAGGCTCTCACAGAGGCTCGATCCAAAGCTCGATCAGTATACCATCTACTGCGTGACCGCGGCGTCAACGACGAGGCACGCGTAGCTGTCAGAAAACTTCTTGGTACTCTCCATAGTCTTTGGTTATTGTTTGAAGACTTCGCAGAACAAGACACTTCGCCAGCGTGCCCAGACCACACCCTTTTTGACGACTTGAGCGATCTTCTTGATGACCCCAGCCTCGCGTGGTCAGCAAGCTCGGCAAGACCAAGAAGCGAGGCTCCTTCTCTCTCAGCATTTACCTCGAGTATCTACAGAATTCAGTGTCAGCTCGATTCTCTTGTGCGTTGCGACTCTTGGGCCGCCTTGCTCGTGCGCTTGTCGACGGACGGTTACCGCAAAGACGTTCTCAGCCAACACCTGGATCATACAGTCGAACTCATACCCAAACCCACAGAGATCGATAGCGACAGGTGTATTGCCATACTTCTGAATGCCGAATTTGACAAACAATTGACTGAATGCTTTGTACACCGGCAATATGTTGCTGAGAGAGACATCAAGTGCCCCGAATATGGTGCGGCAGCAAAGCTTCTACCCGATTTGGCCCGCCAACGATACACCGATTACAAGACACCTCTGCACGTGCTTTTTCACTCAAGGAAGTCGTCGCACTTTCTTCAATGGCTATTGGAATACGCCAGGCAGGAATGGCCGGAGCAGTTCAACCTTAGCTCCGGTGCCCTCTCGATGACACCTCTGAATCTGCTGATGTCGAGACTCGAGGATGACTCGGTCACTCCTTTCCACGTTGCTGCGTCATTGGGGCTTCCACGGCTCTGCGAGCAACTTTTGTTGTGGGGAGTGGACGTCAATAAGCCGAGCTCTATGGGCACCCCTCTTTACTGTGCATTGCTCGGTCCAACGGCCCTGTTAGGACGCTCTGCAGACGCCTCACAACTAGTGTCTGACTGCAAGCCTACCGATTCGCAGGAGGAGACTATAAAAGTCCTCTTGGATTCAGGAGCTTCGTGTACTGTGGAAACAGCTGGCCCTTGCCAAGACGAAAAATTCTCACTGGCAACATTGGCATTCCTCATTTGCCAGGCGATCCGTGCTCCAAAGATCCTACTTCAACTTCTCAAGTTGGGCATTAGCCTTGATCTGAGATTCGTACAGCTCTTCCATGGCAAAGATTCTCTTCTACAATACTGGCCATCGCCTCTCAAGCCACCGACGCGTTCGTTTTTGGAGGGAATGCTTCCCGCGATCCTTGACAGAGCCATTCCCGAATACGACAGCTACAATGATATATCACTATTGGCCACAGGTATCTATGAGATCCTAGACCATTTTGATTTGGCTCGTCCTTCTAGTATTGCCAGGTCCCGACCTCTTGATGTCTCCGACACCTTGTATGAAGAACTTGTCAGAGAAGCAGTTCAGGATGGCGAGACGGCAGTTGTGAGAAGGCTTATCTTGGATCCTCGTTGGAATCCAAATGCATTGATGGCGCCCCAGAGAGCACTATCAAGCGCATCATCAGAAGATGAATTTGCTATGGACGAGCCTCGAGATGGAACTACAATCCTACACTACGCGGCCGAGACCGACGAAATAGCTCTACTGGCTGCTATCTTGACATCGGGAGAAGATGTCAATGTCCATGTTCGCAACCATAAAGACCAGACACCCCTGATGCTGTCAGAGTCGCCCGAGGTCTTTAGGCTTCTCTTGGACCATGGAGCAAGAACCACAGACACCGATGAAAGTGGACGTAACGTTTGGCACTTCGCAGCCGCCAATTCAGACATCGAGCTACTGGACTGCCTTCAAGAGTACGACAAGCACAAAGACCACAACCTGAGGGCGGTAATGAATGACGGCCAGACCCCCATTGCCGAAGCCGTCCTCTATCCCTTCAGCTCCATGAGGAAAGGGCAAAAATTAACGCCCGCAGCTTTAAAAGTGGCGATTCACATGCTGGAAATTTGCAGGCCAAATCTCGCCTACCTCAAAAGCCCGGAACCTCTCGTTCTTCTGGCTGTCGAATGTGGCTCGGCGGACCTACTCCGCAGCTTGATTGACTTCGGCGCGGACCCCTTCGAAGTTGATGGAGAATCTCGGAATGCCCTACACTACCTCAACGTGTCGGCTACAAACCCTCTGATTGATATTCTTTTGAACTTGGACTTTGAAACCATCCTCAATGTCCAAGGACTGTCTCCGGCGGAAACAATCTTCCAGGTTTTCAACGACAGGGCCCTGTTTGGCCCCACGTCCGCCACTCACCCCGCCAGCTTTTGCGCGCTAGATGCTGGCGTATACAGCCGCCTGCTTGACTACAAGGATATTATTGCCAGCCGCGATGATTCCGGTATGGGGCTGTGGGAGCGGTTTTCTCGCAATGTGTTTGCAACAGATGCTCCCAGATGGCCAGCAGAACTGACTAACTCTGCGCAATCATCACTGCAAATTGCTGTGGAATGCTTGATCAAGAAAGGAGCCTTGGCCAAGTACGAAGAGGAACGTGGACGGTGCGGTATCATTCCAATCTTCTCGAGGTGGACAGAGATTTCTGGCACCAAAGGACGGTTGCCCAAGTGGCTGGGATCAATACTATGGCCAATTCTCGAAGTCACGACGAAGATAGACGAAGTGAGAGAATCGCCAGGTGTGGTAGAATTCATCACACGGGCCACTGAGCTGGAAAATCACGAAATTGCCCAACACTATTTGAACACGGGGGATCATCAAACGGCCCAATACTATTTGGATTTAGGGGATATGGTTCCCGAGTGATGCCATGCTCAGGAAATAGCTCAGGTGTTCCCTGACATTATGCGAAGCCAAAGCAGGACCGAGGAGGCTTCTGGCTACTCGAGGAGTAGGAGGAAATAGTCAGAGCGGTGGTCAGAATGTAGGATACGAACTTTCAGGGATTAAAGCCCGTATGTGGCATTTTTGGCTTTTGGAAAGTCTGGACTGGATCTTGAAGTTTCTGCATTTTGTGCGATGGCAATGGCAGGGACGAGCGGTGAGGACTGCGGTCCTCGGCGTGGACGAAGAGGGCAACGAGCTCTTTAAAGACAGCGATCCATCATCTGGGGAATGAGCATTAGCGTAACATGCATAGCCGAGCGTCTCTCTTGCCATACCTTGTTTTCAATACCAAGATGGTTTCAACAACAGCCGTATTCTTCGAGTAAGCTGCGCGAAGGCAGACAACTGTGAGACTGGCGACAGAACAGGGCTCCCCTGATGGGATACCTGGTTTTTGCCGCCTTCCATTCTTTCCCAAATCATAGTGCGGTGAACATGTATGGCTAGAACTGCTTCCTTCATCGCCATCTTCCCCCAAGGTAGGGTAGCCGGCATCGCGATGGTCAGAACGGCAGTGGGCAGCTCTCGCGGATATACCTGTGCCTGAATTCAACAAACAACAAGGCGAAGACGAGAAAAAAAGAGTTCACCACCGGTGTGGCTACATCTCTTGGCGATTGTCATGGTGCTCATGCTGGGATTCGAACTCGGGTACTCTCGCTAAAATTGTCCTCGTAAATCTGATTGTCGACCATTAACTGTTCCACCACCCAGACAGTTGGACTTGACCAACCGGCCTAGGAAGGCGTCTGCTGTGCTGGTGACGAGAATTGGATTGAGGGGCGGAATATAGGTTCGTGGCTTGCTTTCGTGGGTGTATACTGGATGAATAAGGATGCGTGGGAGAGTGCATGATTCATTGCTGAGATGAAATTTTCAAGCAGCATCGCCGTCATTACGATCAGTCAACAGAAACAAAGCATCGAAGCCCGGCTTAGCAGAGTTACACCTCTAGCCATGCCCTAAAAGATAGAAGACATGTTGCTATTAGTTGCTATACCCTAAGATCACCTAAGAATACCGCTCTGACTTCCCTTGTTGAATGCAATCTGCTCTCCTCTGACCTCCGCAACGCCAACTCTTTCATATATCTCGCCGAGCCCGTCAACAGCAACAGAGTGCACGACTATTATGTAATGTGACTGTTGAGGGTCGCCTTGTAAATCCTTTCTCCTCGCCACAATGACACATTTGAGGTTCGAGAGCTTCCTGTCTGGATTGTCGAGCTCCAGCTTGAGGCTATCACAGCCCCGAAAGTCCCATACAGGCGCCTTGATCTCACATACCCCCTCTTTCTCGCCCCTCTCCTTCATGCTCTGAGATGACCAAGTCCTAAACGGCGAGATTATCTCCGCCTCCCAAGAATACTTGTTGAAGGGAACATTCAAGTATTTGATCTCGCCGTCATAAGCCATCCATGACCATGATGGAACATAACCTCCTCTGAGCAGTTCCGACTCGATACGTATCAGAGACCGGCTGGCCTTTTTCCACAGTAGACATCGATGGAAGAAAGTATCGAAAACTCCATGAGAGCCGACAGTTCTGAAAGTGCGGATGAGACGTGCTTCAAGCCCGCGGATGGCAACTGGCCTATCACCAATGGAGCTGAGTGCCAACCCCGAGTACTTCTGGTAGAGATCCTGGTAAAGCTCAATCTTCATTCCGCGAACGTAGGTGTCAATGGAGTGTGGAAAGTCCGAATCTCCCAGGAACGAGGCTTTCCGACTGATACATCGAGAAGTCAGTCAAGCGAGTCTAGCTGAAAGCATTGGCAGACCCGTCTAGACTCACTTTCTCAATTTCGTCATTGTTTCACACTTTACGCCTCTTCCACATTCCCAGTACGTCTGCTTTTCTGAGAAATAGATTGTGCGACGGGATAGAGCTCGCTCTTGAAGAATCCAAGCTCGCTTGTTCAACTCCCCTTGTTCAACATCACGCCCAAAGTCATCGATAGAGTCGCAGATATAGTAGGAGCCCCTGTCGGATGTTAACGTAACACAGTGCCGCCGTGGTCGGGGTTTCAAAAAGCCATCCTCGGTCCCGCTTGCGCAGCTAGCTGCTAGAGTTGCGTAAGCTGAGCTGTACACCTGTTCCATTAAAAGAGACTCCGTCTTCCAGTCTTTAGGGTCGTCTTGAATGATGCAGAGCGAATCGATCCAGAGGTACCCAATATCGAGACTTCGTGTAACGTTGATAGCATCCTGAAACGTTCGGGGGAGCTCCGTCAGCTTGATTTCCTCTTTGAAGCTTTCAAGGTTTTCCTTCAAAGTGCATAATTTTCTATGTTGGTCTGGAGCACCCCATCGATGCGATAGAGCGAGATATCTTCCCGAGTTCGTTTGCCCACGGTCTGCGCAAAGCAAGCGGCATGATTCGGCGCCCTCGGATCCAACGTCGATAACCCTTGTTGGAAGAAAGGTGGTGTCGGATGCTGGGCTACAGTCATGCGTGTCGTCGCAGACCCGTATCCACGTCGATAGCGCTGCGATATGCGCCTGACTACCGGCAGCCGGAAGCACTGGCATTCCCATCTGTGCACCAAGAAAAGGTTTTCCTTTAACATAAACTTAGCACGAGATAAATCGATGAAACAAACGAAGGTTGTTCTAACCTGGCAAGCTGTATAGAACTGCAACTGGCCGTCCGAGTTTCACGTTGGATGTCAAATAGCTGTCGAGCTTTTCGAATTTGATCTCCTCGTATATCTTGGCTGCCATGGATCCAAGTGAAAAGCGAAGGAGGCGACAGAGATCACAGGCTTCTGCTCTCCTTACTAGCGCTTCGAGATTATCAGAAAACGAGAATCTTTGTGATCTGAGTCGCTGTTGGAGGTCTTTGCATCGAAGACAGAGGGTGCTGGTCGTATTTTTCAGTGGAAGCTGACGCGAAATGTCGATCTCCTCAGACAGCGCTCGTGCTGTGTTGACATCTGGGCTACACTCCCACTCATTATCAAGCTAAGAAAACGTTACTGATTTGAATTGGTAGCTCTTCTCGAAATCGTAAGAAGCTTACCGGCTAGATAGAGTTGCATTGTCAGGACATGAAAATCAGGCCACCGGATATCAGATTTGTAGGTAAATATTTGAAGCTTGAGTGTCGAGACATACCGTCTGTTACATCAGTGACAATTAGTAAAGATCACATTTTGCTGGCGACTGAGAACGTACAAACTAGATGAGATGTCAGCTCATGATATCAATATCCGAAGGTTGTTAGAGCATAATTAATACCATCTATGCCGTGCAAGAAAGTGTTTAGCCAAGATCGCACACACTTAGACCACATCGGGCAAACGTACGTACTGTCGATGTCAGTATATAATATTGCATAATGTGGAATACGGGACTTTTACATCATCAGAATGGCCACTGTCACCTGCACCCGCCAATCCGGCGTCGATGTCTACCAGGGAATTGGTTATTGGAGGAGAACGAGATCCTAGGAAAGTTACTCTTCACCTCATGCATTAACGCCGCGTCGACCCCTTATACCTAGTTGAGAAACACCCAAGGTATCTCCGTATTGTCCTGGCCCTCCTGGAGAACCCGCCTGCCAATTCATCCAAGGAATTCTTGGCGGTTTCCCCGAAGCATCTTTGATGATGCCAGCCAGCGTTTCGTACATTTCGATAGAAGTCGCTCGATAACGAAGGTCGTCGGCGGGATCGCCGTTAAAGCTGCTGTTGGTGTCCGATCGAATAATGCTCGGGTTATCTGGGCCATCTGTCGCGTGTAGAGTGATGCTGCCCCGGACACTGTCGCTTCCAGACGACTCTTTCCTCGTCAGCTTGCTTACCTCTATGACTAGCAATCGTGTGCAAATGAGCTCTAGCAACTTTCGAATTGCAGTGTTCGGTGGGCATCTCGGGTCCCTTCTGATCCAATCCATCCACTTCTGAACACCGGGCTTGATGCTAGCCTCTCCGGTCACACCAGATCCATGTACATCGAAGAATTGCCGTGTTCTGTTCACGGGATGCGTTATGTCATCCCCAAATCGAAGCAGTTCGGCTTTTCCATAAAGAAGCCAAATCAGGAACTCGAAGTAGATACAGCCGATGGACCAGACGTCATAACGTCGCGACCGTGGTAGTTTCTTAGTTAGCAGCAGTACGGCTTCAGGTGGCTCGTACATAACCGTTCCGTTCATCGTGCGTGTAGCTTCGTTACGCATCTCCGTCGCTAAGATGTGAACTTTAGCCAGACCAACATCCGCAATGACGAGAAACGGCTGGGAAAACGGGTCGGAGCTCCTGGTGTTCTCAAAGCAAAGAATATTCTCTGGCTTCAGGTCCCCGTGTCTACATGCGGAGTCCTTTGTCGAATGAAGCTTATTCATCGCACCAGCCAGGCCACAGAGCTGACCAAGAGTCCAGCCAACAAAATCTGCATCTAGCTTACGAGGAGGCTCTCTTCCCCAGTAGTCTCGTAGGTTACCACCTCCCGCCCACGGGAAAATAATAAAGTACCGATCACCCCTTTTGTAGTAAGCGATTGCCTTGATGAGGTGCGGATGCTTCATTTCGCGGATCATATGTAAAACTTCTGCCTCAGCCTCGGCTGCACGCTCATACTCGTCAGGATTCATGTTGACATTCTTCAGCTCTTTCACTGCTATAATGGGATGTCCATTTTTGTCGACTGATAGGCGCTGTATCATGTGAGTGTCGCATCCATGAAGCCCTGGGCAATGCGTTGTTCGTGGGTTTGTGTGCGCTTACAAGTTTTGAGCTCTTCTTGAAATGAGACTGATGAATAGACCACTTTCCCACCGTGCTGAAGTGACTTTCTTTGTGTCCACCAGGTTGCTCCAAGAACGGCATTCGGTGTTCCTTTCGAAAGGAATATCTGAATTGATGTTCATTGAAGACCGGTCCGAGAAATTGCCATTGGTTGTCACAAAAGAGGTACGGCGAAACAACGAATGCCCAAAACTTGTCGGCAAAAACCCTCTTGGTGATCTCAGAATGGCCAGGTTCATCGGATCGGGTTCTCACTTGCTTGCTTTCATCGATGAAGAGAGGTAGAATAGAGTCGACAAAATTGTGCTCGTAGAACAAGTCAATACGTTCCGAGCGACTTAGGCAGGCAAGAACCGCGAAAACTCTCCTGGCGCCGGGCTTTCCACAAACGAAGGAGGCGATGTTTGATATCGTCTCTGGCGACTTGTTCGTTTGATATGATAGGGTTTCTTTGACCAACTGCGTAGTTATCTGCTTTTCCAAGATGGAGTACGGAAGAAAGGTGTTACCTCCGCATGTTCCTGCAGGAAGCTGTGCCGAGACTAGCTGGCCCTGAAGAGCAGCCATCTCGTCGCTCTGGTCACTTTCGTTACTACCTCTCCGAAGACTGGCAAAGGACGACTTCTTCCACAATTGAGACGGTATACTCGATGTTCTTCTGGCATATATGGTGATCGAAGACACACGGCGCGATATCGGGTTAGGCGAATGCCCGAGGTTCTCGTCTTTATGCTGTGCGTTTACTACTCGAGTTTTCTGCAGAGGCTGCTTATGAGCTTTTTTGACTCGGCAATTGTGCTCAGGTGCTTCTCCCTTCTTTGGCTACACATTCAGCTTTATGTCTCCAATATCTGCATCTTGGCACGCCAATGGGTCCTACTCACATGTGATGATAACCAATGACCACCACACAGAAATGGTAAGCCTCGCATTTCATGAATACTTCAGCAACTTGCATAGCCTCCACATCATACATGCAGACGAAGTTGGATCTTGCGCGATTGGACTTATCCAGAGCATGCTGCAACGTACTTATGCAGATACGAATTGATGGGCTGACTAGTTGATGTTTGCCATTTTCCGTATCAGATTACGGTCTTCCCCTCCTTTGCTCGGTAGCACACCCTCCACGACTACTTTATTGGCCCTGGTTGCCTTTTGGTGTACACCCTTCCGCTTCGACCCAGGCCCAAAATTCGATTTCTCATACATAACGTCCACATTCCAACCAACGGCATGATGGTACTTGACCTCTGCATGCCACCAAAGCTGGCGCGCGTGGTTCGCCCGCTTGCCGCATAGACCAGGCTAGATCAGGCTCGGAGTCGAGGGGAAACCAACTTCTCCAGACTCCGCATGCCTACTGCGACCTTTAACCGATGCGTACATTGCCAATTGTGTGATGGCTCGGTGGAGCCAAATCAGGAAGCTGTCAGCATTGGCCAAGAGTTCATGCTAACACTTCCCAACCTCGTCCGAGCAGATCATGGTTAACTGAACTCTACTTTCACTTCGGGATAGGCGGAATATTGAAAAGAGTTCCGAAGAAGATCGACACGGACAAGGGGGCATGCCATAGTAATGAACTAGAAGTTCCAGATCTCCCAAACTCTCGCGTTACCTGCTGGTATCCGCAGGAACGAAAAGGCCTAGCAGTGCAGTTTTTCTTTGGGATCAGGCTGTGGGCATGGCAACTAAACCACTGATATGCATGTACTGCGATGACGTGAGTCTGCTCAAAGTTGTGCGTCGGTGCAGCCAAGGAGGCGGGGTAAGTGCATCTTATCTTCTGAGAGAACCTGCAGACTTTTTCCAACGCCAAATCAGGCTGAACCGAGCAGCTTATCTCCTATGTTGTGTGGAGTGTCATGATCAGAATTCATCATTGGACCACGATGCCATAGTGGCGGTCTTCATTCTGCCGCACACATGAAAGGGGTGCCAACTGATCCCGGGCATCCCCGACTATAAGACTGCGGATCAGCGAAGCAGCTTCCAGAGAGACTTCGGATGTATCTTAGATCATCCGTTTATGTACCAAGTGTACAAGGGCTGTGTCAAAGACAGGTCATTGGAGCGTGATGATCTCGAAGCAACGGCCCGGAAAGACGTGAGAAACTGGAGTCCCTTCGGCAGTTACGCTGACAGTTATTTCGGCCTGGAGGATGCTTATGTGGCTGCCTTCATGGTCGCCTGAATTTGGCAGCCTGTTCTATCTCGTACAGTCGCTGATCATGGCTCATGCTCAGACTTTCATAAGACCCCGCGATTGTCGGTGGGCTGTCCTGTTGAACCCAGCCTTCAACCCCAACCATTTGCGAATGCGATCCCTGAGCCAGACATCCAGACAAGGTGTCTCAACGAGCAATGAATTCTCAAGCTCTTCTTTCAAGTTTGAAAGAGTCCCTTCAGTATTCTTCTATCGTAAGCCAGGAATTCTTGCCAGTTAGCAGTTTGAATGATGTCATCACCAAGGAGAAAGTTCAGAATGAGCTCCCCACAAACCTCATGAATAGGCTGTTTTCCGATAGCCTCCCAAGCAAAATCTCGATGAACGCAAGACGAATCTTTGCAATTCTTGTCATGATCGGAGAGCCTCAGGCAATTCGAAAGCTAGTCGATGATGGTCTTACCGACGAAGATTTACCCCTTGCTAGGCCAACTCATGACAAGTACAGCGGTACTTTGGAATCCAAGGGAAGACTGGAAGTCAAGTCGTTTAAACACTGGAAAAATGAAGCTAAGGTGGATATGTTTCTGGAAAAGCAGTGGCTCTTCCTCGCCCCAAAACTGGATGTCACAGGGACATCAACAGTCTTTCAAGTGGATTCAAAATGTCCGCTGCCATTCTTAAGAGCAACCGAACTTCGGGGTGAACACAGCAATGTTGTCTACAAGAGCGAGCTACATGCGGCTCACCAAACCGGTTCTGGGGTGAGTCCGAGTCTTCTGCAGAAGTGCAACGACGTGCTAATGATCGAGATGCAAAGGCGCAAGACACGGACATGGTGGTTGCAGTCAAGATATTTCGCAACTCTGAGGGCTCGACCTTGTTCGATCAGGAAAAGAAGAACCTCCTGAAGACGCAAGGTATCAACGACAAACATCTCATACGATACTTATTCTTCTGCCAGAGAGACCAGTCTTACTTCATAGCCTTCCCATGGGCAGAAGGAGGGAACCTCCAAGAGTTCTGGATGTCACATATCTCAAACCAGGAGTACATGTTGTGGTCTTTGCAGCAGATGCTTGGAATAAGTGGCGCCCTCCGGAAGCTGCATGACATCAATTTCCGTCATGGTGATCTCAAGCCCGGAAATATCCTCCACTTCTCTAATGGCGGGCTGGGTAATCTTGTCATTGCAGATGTCGGGATTTCCAAGGTTCACAAAGCTGCGACATATATGAGATCCATGAGTACCCTCACCAGAGCTACTACACCTTCGTACGAGCCACCGGAAGCCATCCTGAAGACAAATAAGCCTAGGCCTCGCAGATACGACATTTGGTCAATGGCATGCATATATCTCGAATTTGTCATCTGGATGGTCTACGGGGTCAATGCCATCAACAGCTTCGCCGAATCCAGGGAAGAAGGGACGCCACTTCAGAGAACTTCCAACTTTTACGCGCTTCGGGGAAACGTTGCGGTGATTCATCCCTCGGTAATCGAAGCATTTGCAGCTCTGCGAAAGGATCCCCGTTGTGGAGGTGGCACAGCGCTAGGAGCCCTGGTCAATCTAATCACCCGGCACTTGCTCTTGATTCAAGTGGAAGATCGCGTCACCGCAGACACTATGTACAAAAAGCTTGAAGAAATTGTCCACCGCGCAACCAAGGACCTCTCTTTCATAATGAACCAAGCAATATCTTCTCAAGAAACTCCAGCTATATTTGGGCGGCCAGTTGAGATTCCTCCGGGACTGAGAACTGCCACCAGCTGGTAGCAGCAAGAGACTTAATGTGGAGGATATGTTTTACTGCTTGAGTATGCTTCATGTATGGCTTGGATTTTCGACAGATGATATTTATTAAGGCACTGTTTTTCCTTCTACTTCTTCTTTTCCTTTTTTTATCAACTCATCGGCGCATTTCCGACATTCAAAACGATATGTTCAACTTCGTTTCCAAGATAGCCTTACTCCCTTAAAGTAATAAGTACACGAACAGGCACCAAAGCCTACCATGTAACCGACAAGCATTCGCTTATGATTCTTCCTCATCAAAATGACACACAATTCGCTCGCAAGGTTTTCATTGGGACTAGCACGTGATGGTCGTTAAGCGTAATTCGTTCTCGAAGGTGAAGTGGTCAAAGAAATCAATCGCGCCTTCTTTTATTGTCCACCGTAATCTTGATTCCATGCACTATCACAAAAGTGAGCTGGGGATTGAAACCCAATGTTGAGGCCTCTAAGATATTGCACAACATGTATTTCCTGTCAAACCACTTAATTCCCTCGTGGCTCGTTCACCGATAGCGCAGTCGTGGAAACCCGGGGCTATTACACGCTGAGCGGCGTTTAGCTGGGCGAGACATGGGGCTGGAGGATCCCGGAATCGGAGCTCGGAGTACGGGCACGAAATGAGGACTTGGCACTCTGCACGTTTCACGGCGTTCAGTCTACCTTACAGACGATAGGTGGCCTATCACCAGGTGCTTGTTGAGGTTGTTCTATTCTTGATAACGACGGTGCTGTTCCTGACGCGAACAAGTCCTTCAGCGCTCGGAATATCTCATCAGACTGCTGCGCGGTTTGTCTCGAGGCGAATGTCCTTGGCTATTGAGATTCACCGCTGGACTGAGAAAGGTCAAGTTGAGAGAAGACCAGCAGCTGTACGGGCTCATCGCTTGCACGGTCAAGAGCGTAGCTAGATTTCCAAATTCAAAGTTTCGTCCTGTAAGAACTTTGTGAAGAGATCTTAAACTCCGGCACGCCTCAGCCTCGTTCAAATTTCCTTCTAGACTGAATGACTTTAGTCTTCCGTCTTTGGTTCTTTGTAAGCGCTAACACGGTTGAGCGTTTAGACACCCGTGTTCGTCGCCGACAACTGATCTTATTCGAATGTATAATCAAGTTATAATTGCACGCAGACTCTGGTTCAACGCATTTCGGATCATCTTCCGTGCCTTGCTTGAGAGATTTATTGGAGAATTCTTTCCAGACAGCTCCGATACTATGCAAGGGTTCCTCGACTTGTCGAAATCTCCCAATAACTTTAGTCAACACCGGTTTAACTAGGAAGGACCATGGAAGCAAGTCAAAGTCCGGCACAACGCACTAACTTAACCACCCCCCTTGATTCCCAATTTCGAACATGCCTTCGCACGTACTTTACCAAATTTCTACCGGTCTGAACAATTGTGGCGTGGCTGTATGAATCATTCAGTTCGGACACCTCGTCTTGGGATGTAGTATTTTCATATCTTGGTCAGGCAAAAACACGTCCCCCTTTTTCCCAGCTCCTTCAAGGGAAGGAAAAACTTGTCCATCATTTCGCTAGCATCATGATACAAAATTTCCGTTGCTCACGTGTAGTGGAAACCCTTACCGGTCGGTCCAGGC